GCCTCTGCAGCGCCGGTTTGATCCCCGGCTGCTCCCCGGCCACCGGAGGAGGGTCCCACATGGCGCGCAGACCTCTCCTGCCGCCCGCTGCTCCCCTCAGCAGTGTACTTCGGTCCTTCTGCCTGCTCTGCTCCCCGCTCTGGCTCTGGTGAATTCTCTCACCCTCCTGCACTTCTGACTGTACCCAGTGTTTGTATAAATAAATAAATAAATAAATCTTTAAAAAAAACAAAACAAAAAACAATTGGAGAAAGAGGGTAACTGGGTTTGATTGCTAATAGACTTGGAAGTTATTTCAGGGTAATGGAAATATTCTGGAATTAGAGAATACTGAAGGTCACATAACTTTGTGAATATGTTGAAACCCACTATACTGAATACTTGAAAGTGGTAGGTTTTTTATTCCCATAAAAAATTTAAAGTAAAGGAATGGAGAAAGTTTTATCATGTAAAAACAAATCAAAGAAAGCAGAAATAGATATATTAATTTTAGAACCAAGTCAACTTCAAAACAAAGAAAATTTCAGGAATAAAAAGGAGCATTACATAATAACAGAAAGATCAGTTTCTCCAAGAGGACATAACAATACTAAATATGTGTGCATCTAACTACAGAGCACCAAAATGCATGGTAGAACTAAAAAGATATATAAAAAAATCCACTCTTACAGTTGGAGATTTCTTTAACACAAAGAAGCAAGTAAAAATTCAGTAAGCATAAATATAATCTTGAATAGGACTATTATCCAATTTGGGAGAAATGACATTTATAGGACACTCTAAATACCAACATTAAAATGTATATTTTTCTCAAGTGCACATGAAATATTCACCATATTCTGGTTAATAAAATAAATTTTAGCAAATTTTATAAAAGACTAAAAAATCATGCAAAGTAAGTTCTGATAACATAATTGAATTAAACTAAAATCACTAACAGTAGAACATACCCAAATACTTGGACTATACTACATTTCTAAATAACTAATTGGTAAAAAAGAAAATCAAGGAAAACTTTAAAATATTTTAAACTTAATTATAATGCAATTACAACTTACCAAAATGGAATGCAGCTAAAGCAGTGCTGAGGGATAGTTAAAACATAAAAAGAAAAATTTAAAAAACACCTAGCAATCAATTAGTGTCCTAGACTTCCATTCTAAGAAAATGGAGAAATAAGTACAAATTAAACCCAACACAAACAAAAGAAAGGAAATAAAAGTGTAAGCTTCTATCAATTAAATTAGAAACAGGAAAACAAGGGCCTCCCCAGTGGCGCAATGGTTGAGTGCTGGGTTGCAAAGCTGCCCGCAGCCTCTGCAGCACTGGTTCAATCCCCAGCCATTGGCGAGGGTCCCACATGGCGCGCAGACCTCTCCTGCCTCCCACTTCTCCCCTCAGCAGTGTATTTCATCGTCTGCCTGTTCTGTTCCCCGCTCTGGCTCTGGTGAATTCTCTCACCCTCCCACACTTCTGACTGTACCCAGTGCTTGCATAAATAAATAAATCTTTAAAAAAAAAAACCCAGGAAAAAAATAAAGAAAAATAATGAAACCAAATCTTGTTATTTGTAAAAAACAAAAAACCTCACAAATTTCTGAGAAAAAAAAGAGAGAAACACACAACAAATTAATATATAGAGTGAAAATGGGACCATCACTACCTTTTCCACAGATCTTAAACACTAATAAAGGAATGTTAAGAACAATTCTAATATTATAAATCAAAAATTTAGATGAAATGGAATAATTCTTCAAAAGATGCAAACTACCAAAATTCACACAGGGAGAAATATATAACCTGAATAGTCTAAGTCTATTAAAGAAATTAAATTAAATTTTTAAAAAAAAGTTAGGAAAGATAAAGTACCAACCTAAATAATTTCACCAGTAAATCTGGCCACATATTCAAGAAAAACAAAATAGCAATTCTATGCAGTCTCTTTCAGAAGACAGAAAAGAAGGAAACATTTTCAATTCCGTTTTGAAGTTATAATTATCCTTATATCAAAACCAGACTAAAACATTTGAACAAAAGAAAACTAAAGACTCACTTTTGACCACAGAAGCAAGGATCACTAACAAAATATATAAAATAAGTGCCTCCCCTGGTGGTGCAGCAGTTGAGTGCTAGACTGCGAAGCTGCCTGCAGCCCCTGCAGCCCCAGTTTGATCCCCGGCCACTGGCGAGGGTCCCACATGGCACAACAGACCTCTCCTGCTGTGCCCGCTGCTCCCCTCAGCAGTGTATTTCGTCAGTCTGCCTGTTCTGCTCCCTGCTCTGGCTCTGGTGAATTCTCTCACCCTCCTGTGCTTCTGACTGTACCCGGTGCTTGTATAAATAAATAAATAAATGTTTAAATATATATATATATATATAATAAAACTCAATAAAATATAAACAAAATAATCAATTATGCCTAAAAAGAATTCATCCTACAAACACAATGCTAGCTTAACATTAAAAAATCAAAATTCATTCTATTAATAGACTGAAAAGAAATACTATATTACAGCAGTAAGTGCAAAAAGTTATATGACAAATATCAAAACCCATTCATGATTAAAAAAAAAAATTTAAAACCTTGGAGCAGAGAGCAACTACTTTAACCTAACAAAGGACATACACAGAAAATCTTTAACATCTTAATGTCAAGAGACTGAATATTTTATCTTCAATATTAAATCCAAGATATTCTTTCTTACTACTCATATTCATCATTGTACTAAAGGGAAAAGAAGACATAAACCTTTGTTGGTAGACACAATGAATACCTATGTGTAAAACCCCAAAGAATCTATTTAAAATCTCCAGTAACTAATAAATGAGCTAAGCATGAACTCAGAAAACAAGGTTACATACAAAAGTCAGTTTATTTTTCTATGTACTAATACTAATAATTGGAATTTTAAATAATAAAAAATTTATAATATTATCAAAAATAAAACACTTATGTATAAATTTAACAAAGATTATATTAACCATGCACACAGAAGAACTATGAAAGAAATTAAAGAACATCAATATAATGAAGAATAAATGCTCATAGAATGGAAAAGTCAATATGATTAAGATGCCAATTCTTCCCAATTTGATTTATAAGCTCACTCAGTCCCAACAAAATCTTAGCAAGCTTTTTGTCAATATAAACTGTATTTAAAACAGAAAGCAAAGATAATAGAATATTCCAAAGAATTCTGAAAAAGCAATATTGGTGGACTAATCTTACTCAGTTTCAAGACTTATTAAGCAAAAATTTCAAGATAGTGTGGTATTACTAAAAACATACATACATAAATTCATGAAACAGAATGGGAAACACACAAACAGACTCTCAAAGTGTATCCAATTTTTGAGAGAAGTGCCAAGGATTGTATTCAACATTCAAAGGATTATCTTTCAATAGCACCAAAACCAATAAGAGGTACATACGCCTTTGGATAGGCTATGAAAGATAGTTGTTCAGTTAAACATTAATCCAGATGTTGCTGTGAAGGTAATTTTTAAATGTGAGTAACATTTAAAGCAGTAGAGTGAATAAAACAGATTATAATGTGGACAGTTCTTACCCAATAATGTGGAGAGGTCTCACCCAAACAAGTTGTAGTCCTTAAGAGAAAAAGATCAAAATTCCTAAAGAAGAATAAATCCTTCTTCCAGAGCACGTTCTGACTTAAGACTAACATCAACGCTTGTCTGGGTCTCCAGCCTGCCTGTTTTTCCATCAGAGTTCAGACTAGTGAGCCTGTTCCTTTATATAAATTTCTCAATAGATAGAGTGACAGAATGATAGACATGTATGTATACATACATACACACACACACAAGAGTGTATATTTACATGTAATCTTACTGCTTCTGTTTCTCTTGAGTACCATGACTAACATAATTTACAATATTGTATCTGAACAAATAACTGGAAAAAATTCTCAAGTTTCCCAAATGTGGACAAACTTTGAAATACCTCTGTTACATTACTGATTTTCACTGCTTCCATATATGTTCTTATTTAATTCCCAAAGCAAGCACATTTTTTACTGTTGAATTTTAGTGAGAGATGTCAATATATTCTACTCAACTATTGGTTTTACTCAAAAGCAGAAAAGCTGGGTTGTTGGTTTAAATTTGATAAGCATGATCATGCCACATTCCTAATATTTCTGAATGAACCAGGAGTTAAACGCATGTTACTGATAAAAGAGAGATGTTTGCTTAAGGAAGAAAGAGAATAATCTTAAAAAAAAATCTGGAAAAAGAATTCCAAATCTCCACTTACAGAATGGATACTAAGACCTGCAGTCTTAAAAAATGTGTTAAGGTATTTTATTTATACTAAAGGTCTGTCTCCAAAAATATTTTATACTGTTTTTGATTCATGCTTTGTTAAGAACAGAGTATTTAATCTGCCCCCCTCACACCTGGTGAGCAACACATGCTTCTAGAGTAGGTAACATTATCCTCAACCACTAAAGGGTTATCCATTTCCAGGATGTAACTAAGAATACCTAAGAAATAACAACATATATTCACAATGGCAATAAAACTGAAGGAACAGTACTGGTCACCTCTCTTAACAAGATAATTTTATTTGCCCACAAATTCCAGGAAAGTCATTCTACAAACAGCGACTCAAAAATCTAGCAGAGAAATCCAACACTTCACATGATTGCTTTACAAAAAGTCTTTAATGATTAAAGGCAAGTGCTAAAATTTTATAAGCACAGAAAATCACTATAGCTGGGTTACAGTTTCTAGTTCTCCATATAATTGGAAGTTCTTGCTTCTCTATCATAACATTTGACTTCTCCAGTGGAGCAATACAGCGCTTGCAGACTATTTCAGGAAAAAGGAAATTAAAAACAAATGTTGGTCTACTTATAACTTCACAAAACTAAAGGGATGGCAATTTCCCAATTCTAGGTGCTAACCAAAAATATACTAAGGGTTGAAATAAACCCACATTACTGCTGAGGAATAATTGTCATGGTAGCCAGACTTACCATTTTTTTTGTGGGGGGTTGGGTCTTCCCATCATTCTTCCCATTCACATGTACTGAAGAGGGCCCAAGAGCTAGTCTGTTATCAGAGACTGGTCAGTGGAACCCTGCGGAAGGATCAATAAGATTCACATTAAGAGATCCAAATAAACATAAAAAAAAGGGGAAAGGATATACACTGCTGACTGTGGTACCTCTACTAAGATAACCCTTCCAGGCTCATTCTGCCCTACTGGGAAGCCTCGGGGCCACCATCTATTTATATACACATAGTGTAGTTCCTTTGGTTTCTAGGATTTGCAACTCAATCTCAGATTTTATTCCTTTCTCCCCAGATCTAGCCATCATCTGTGCCTCAATCCTTTTACTTTCTCCCATTCACTAACCCCCTCTCTCAGTTCCTAAGCTGGGCATGCTTCCTAGCCTTGTATTTAGAACTCTGTTCTTTCTCTCCAATTTCTTTTGCTGAGAAGAGAGAGGAAAATATTTAGTTATGGAAGGAGAGGTGGAAAAGGTCCCTGAGATGGGCTGGTCTCCTTCTGGAACCTTGCTTTTTCTCCCTGTACTAATTAACCCTGGATAGGTACTTTAAACAAGAAAACATAGGGGGCCTCCCTGGTGGCGCAAGGGGTTAAGACACAACCTATGAAGCTATCCACAGCTGCTGCAGCAGGAGTTTGATCCTCAGCCAGGGAGCAACCCACATGGTGCAGCAGACCTCTCCTGACTCGCCCGCTGCTCCCCTCCACAGTGTTATTTCAGTCGATCTGCCTGTTCTGTTTCACGCTCTATCTCTGGTGAATCCTCTCACCTCCCACGCCTCTGGCCTGTACCCCCGTTCTTCTATGCATAAATAAATAAATCTTTAAAAAAAAACAAATAAGAAAACATATACTTGATCTCAAGGATAACTTTCTTACACTATTTGCATAAATTGCCAGGTGCCTTATTATGCTCAGGGAATTTTTTGTTTTGTTTTGTCCCATTGGGAAAGTATATTATGAAGTTCACATTTATTGCTTCTACCTGATTTGGGAAATAATTTGTTTGGTTGCTTGTCTGTTTACTGCAACTTGTGAGAAATGTGCCATTCTATCACATGAACATTAATTAAACATTCCTGTAGGCCTGTATGTGATAAAAAATTATTAAACAAATGTAAATATTGAAATGTCAGTTCTTGAACATATAGCAATAATGTATCAAACAGATAATCCCTTCTCCATACCTTTATAGCAATTCAATTCATGACAATAGCATTATTTAAGCCAATAATTCAGAATCTGAAAATAAAATAACCAAGGGAATGACTATGTTTGCTGAATGATGATTAGTGATTCCTGGCCAGCAAACAAATTTCCTCATCAGCATAATTCTCCTTTGGTATGGAACCTCTTTTAAATTATTAGCCTCTCTCTGTAAAATACAAATTGAGAAAAAAATAAATTGGCCCAGTTTATCTACTGCTGTGTATCACTGTAGGCTAAATACTGTCTTTAAGCCAGAAATAGCAACTATTTACTATTTTCCCTAAAAATAATACTTTCAGCCAAGGCAACTAAGTTCTGAGAGTCAGATATTATATTTTAGATATAATGATTTATTGACTGCTTATATCAAAACTTATTTCATGGATTAAATAGTAACCTTGCATATAGAGAGCCCTGTAAATCATGGGGAATAATATAGCATTATAATTGTTAATATTATTCTTTATGGAGAAATGCCTACATATTTTAATTTAACATTTATACAACTTTTGCCATAAAATGGAGTTTATTTTTCATTCCACAAAATGCCTCAATCTTTTTCTTTATAGTTTGTGTATTTATTGTGTTTTATTATCTCCATAAAGTAAGAAAATAATATTAATAATTATAATACTATATTAGTCCCCATGATCTCCTCCCTAAACTTTACATAACATTCATATATATTTTATCTTAATTTGTGCAGTCTCTACAGTTTAATATTCCACCTATAGTTAAATTTTTATAAGATGTATAACCTAATTATATACAATATTCCCTACAAATGATTAGCCAATTATTTTTTGAAATGGCAGGGTCACAAATACTATCCCCATTTTACATACCATGTAGCAAAAGCTCAGGGAAGTTAAATGATAAAACAATAGTATGAAAACCACTTCAAATCTGCTCTTAGGAGCCAACTGTAAGCAGCATTTCCCAACCTCACATTCAATAATTTGAACATGGTGAAAGTATATATACCAAGAAAATCAGCAAACATTACAAACCAGAGGTTTTTTTCCTTCCTCCTTCCTGCCTCCTTTCTTTTTTTCCTTCCTTCCTCCCTCTCACCCTCCCTCCCTCCCTTCTTAACTCTTCAGCATGTCATTGGAAGTTTCCTCACTCATACTACGCAATATGCTGTGCTAGGACATTAACAAGGTGAAAACATAAATTATCATCTGTCTTCCCAAACTTCCAGTTATACTATAAAGCCATAAAATTAAAACCATACTGTACTGGAACAAATAGACACACAGACTAATGGAAAGAAATCAAGAATCCAGAAATAAACCCTCACTTATATGGACATTTAATCTATCACAAAGTGATCAAAAATATACACCAAAGCGGGCCTCCCCGGTGGCGCAGCGGTTGAGCGCTGGGTTGCGAAGCTGCCCGCAGCCTCTGCAGCGCCGGTTCGAACCCCGGCTGCTCCCCGGCCACCAGAGGAGGGTCCCACATGGCGCGCAGACCTCTCCTGCCGCCCGCTGCTCCCCTCAGCAGTGTACTTCAGTCCTTCTGCCTGCTCTGCTCCCCGCTCTGGCTCGGTGAATTCTCTCACCCTCCCGTGCTTCTGACTGTACCCAGTGCTTGGATAAATAAACAAATAAACAAACAAACAAATAAATCTTAAAAAAAAAAAGTATACACCAAAGCAAGGACAGTCTTTTCAATAAATGGTGTTGGGAAAATGGGACAGTGACATGTAAAAAGAATGAAACTAGGATACTATAGCACACCACTACAAAATCTGGCTCAAAATGGATATAAGACTTGGATGTAAAAGCTGAAACCATAAAATACATAGAAGATAACAGGCAAAACACTTCATGACATTGGTTTCAGAGATGTCTTTAGGGATTTGTCTCCAGCAGCAAGGAAAAGAAAAGAGAATATAAACAATTGGGAATATAGCCAATTAAAAAGCTTCTGCACAATGAAAGAAACTGCCACTAAAATAAAAAGACACTCTATTGAATGGGAGAAAATATTTGTATACCACACATCTGACAAAGGGCTGATAAAAAAGATCACATTGGCAGAGGTGTGAACCTATACCCGTAAATCATACACAGTGTTGTAAACCAATGTTAGGTCAATTAAAACTAATACAATATAAAAAATGAATAATTGAAAGAACAAAAACATTACATGCAGATGGAAACAAAAATTTAAGTATAATTTGAAAAGAAAAATATAATCCTAGTTACCTTGACCAATGTATTTTCAATTATTAACAAATTTTTTTGTTGTTGAAATTTGGTAATGTATATGTGATTTTTAAAAATAATAAAAAACAATACATTTAACTTTTTTCAATAATTAAATTGGTAACTAAATGAAGGAAATTTATGATTTAGGAGTGGAGTTTTAGATAAATCAGTCAGAAGGAACAGGCAAGAAATGATGCAAATTAAATTTTTTAAAAAGTTTTTGGAGACAAACCTTTTTGAGGATGTGTGCTTGAAATATCTATGTACACCCAGAATAAGGTGGCGCAGTGGTTGAGCACTGGGTTGCGAGGCTGCCTGCAGCCTCTGCAGCGCCAGTTCGATCACCGGCCACCAGTGAGGGTCCCACAAAAAAAAAAAAAAAAAAAAAAGAAAAAAGAAAAAAGAATAAATTAGAATAACTGTAAAAATGAGTATTTTTCAGGCCTGATACGTCTTTCAGGTATCTGGTCAGTAAGCTGATGAACAAACCTTCCTGTGTTAGGATGACAAACTCTACTCCCTTGAAATGATCAAATTCTTTCCTTAAGTATTTTTATTTATTTATTTATTTATTTATTTATTTATTTATTTATTCTTAAAGATTTATTTTTATTTATTTATTTATGCAAGCACTGGGTACAGTCAGAAGCATGGGAGGGTGAGAGAATTCACCAGAGTCAGAGCAGAGAGCAGAGCAGGCAGAATGACGAAGTACACTGCTGAGGGGAGCAGCGGGCGGCAGGAGAGGTCTGTGTGCCATGTGGGACCCTCACCGGGAGGCCGGGGATTGAACCGGTGCTGCAGAGGCTGCGGGCAGCTTCGCCACCCAGCGCTCAATCTCTGCGCCACTAGGGAGGCCCCTTAAGTATTTTTAATCTGAAGACGTTTTGATTAAGTATTAAGATAAAAACTTAAAAAAATATAACATATATGGGAATACAAATCAGTTGTCAGCAAAACTATGAAGATCAAAATAATACCAAATGTTCTTTCTGATCAAAGAACCAAAAAGCCAGAAGTCACCTATTAAAAAACAAAACAAAACAGGAAAACTATAAATATTTGAGACTAAATGATGTGCTACTTAATAGCTACTGGCTAAAAGAAATAAAAACAAATCTGAAAATGTATCTGTGGCTCACCAACAATGCATGAGAGATCTTAGAAGTAATGCTGCAGCCCTGGCTGATATCTTCACTATAGCATTATGATAGTGGACACAAAGCCGAAGACCAGTTAAGCCATGTTAGGATTCCTGATCCTTAGAATCTCTGACCCTCAGAAACTATGATATAGTGAATGTTTGTTGTGCTAAGTCACCAAAGTTTGGAGTGATTTATTATACAGCAATAGATAACTAATAGAATCCCCAAGGGATTCAATTCAAAGGGGACACTGTTGTGAGCCATGACATGTAAACAGTCAGACGGACTAATGATCCATCTACCAAATGGATTCTGACGTCATACAATGCACCCCTTCCTTCTCTTCTGAGATCCTCTTTGATTTACTATTCCTGTGTTAGAATGACAAACTCTACTCGCTTGATATCAGAGATATCAAGACTAACTCCTTATTAGTGATACCTGAATCTCAAGAAGTTGGATATTTTTTTCTCTGAATAGTCATATACTTTTA